TCACCAATGCAGTGACAGTGGGCATGGGAGCACCGAGAGATGTCCCAATGATCACCTCTCTGCCTCTCCCAGACAGCAGTCTTACTCCTCCCCATGGTCAGGATCAATCCTCCCTCTAGTGTGACAGCTACTTTTTTGCCTGCCAGCCTACTGGCATGAGTACAAAGTGATAGGGCTCTCATTCTATTAGGGGAAGAGTCTGGGTGGGGCAAGGAAGAAAGATGGAATTCACTTAAGGACTGATGCATTTCAGTAGTGGGACAGTCACAGAACAAGCGGGTGTGCTGTTTCTGATGCCATTAGTTGAACAGCCTCTTTTTGGCCGCTGACTATACAAATTAAGGAGTTAAATGAAAATTTGAACTCTGAATTCACTGATGTCCTGGATTTGCAGAGCCCTGGCCATATGAAAAACCACAAACTGAGAATAAGCTTTTTGCCTCATAGGCAACCGAGGAAGAGCCTCTGGACAGACCCCAGAGAGCTACAAGCCCCTCCTCAAGCCTCTCTTTAGGCACCCCCCCCACACACACACACACCGTCAGATCCCCAGGGTTTTGAAGGTGGCAAATGGGTTATCTAGTATAGTACATAAGGGTTGTTTCTTTGCTAACTTTTGTGACATTTCCTTTTTTGGCCTAAATAAATTATTTGCTTTTATCATTATTATTATGATTCAAAATTATTTCATGCCCTCTTGTAAATTGATGAATAAAATAAGTTCTAGCAAACAGTTCTTTCTAGTGAGATTGTGGGTTATTTTGGATATATAACCAGCTAGCTTGATTTTTTTTTTATGGTTACAAAAAGGAATACACATTCAGGCTATCAAAAACAGGAAATACAGAAAAGTACAGATGAAAATTCAAACTGGATATAACCACTATATAAATCTTTCCAACTTTGTGTCCATAGAAATGCATGCTTTTTAAAAAATGGAACCATACTAATGTTTGCATGGCTTTATATTTTAGTCTTATTGAAAAATTCCCATTGAATCTGATGAAATGGGCAAGGCTTAGACTAGACCCAATGAGACATGTCAGCTTATCCTTCACCCTTACCCCCACCATTGGGCTTCTTCCAACACTGAATATCCAAGGAAGCTGGTTTCTGAGCTAGGAAGTGATTTCCTAGCTGGGACGTTTCTTTGATCTCAGCTTAAAACAGCTCTAAAACTCTAAGACTGCCAACTCAGACTGCCCTACAAACTGAAAAGAACTTTGACAACAGAAAATACACTTGGGGGGAAAAATGTGCCTTGAGACTATGAGGAATCTGAAAGCAATTAACTGAATGCTTAGGAATGACTTGCTTCCTCTTAGCCAAAGACCATTCATTAGCAAATAAAATAGATGCTTCAGCTGCAGACTAGTCTGGATTGATTGATTGACCTATATTTACACTCTGGGCTGCCAAACAAAAGATCCTAATCCAGCCTAATACCCTGGGAACATTCTGGCACTCTCTCCTCTGTGAGCTCTGGAAAGTGAGTAGTATGATCAGGCAGAAGGTGACTCATGAGTTAAACCCTAGAAGACAGAAACCTTGGTTAGCAGCACAGCATAATCCTGAGGTTTTACAGACCCAGGCTCAAGACCATCTCTATCTTTTTGAATAAATTGTTTAGCCTCTTTGGGCTTAAGTTCTTTTTATCGTTTATTTTACAAAATGTAGACACACATTAAATGAGATTAAGCGATTAAATGAGATGAAGCTTTTAGGCTGTTCCCAGTTTTCTGTTAGTATATGATCATTAGCACCTACTTACTGTACATCCAGGGAAGGGAATGGAAGGTCAGCGGCTCAGGCACTGCCTTAGGGCAGCTCCCCACCACTCCCAGACCCCCAGGTGAAAATAATGTGCTTTCGTTCATGTGATAGAGATGATGCTTTAAAGGTTGTGCCTAATTGTAAGGAATAGAGAAAAATCTAGTTTGGAAGAGAATAGAATAGAATTTACTCATTTAATATCTTCAAGGTATTAGTTGCCGCTGAACTAGCAGGATCTATATTGGTCCGTTAGTGCCATCCAGTGTTCAGCAAGGGAAAGGCCATGATTTTGCCCTGGAAGTCTATAATTTACCAAAAAATATATTTTCTGATGAGGATAACTTAATCTCACTAATAGGTTCTCTTGTTCATAAGTTTCATTCAATTTTCTTAAGCAAAATCAAAACCTTGGAATTCTAAACACTAAATGCTAAAACTAGATTCATGCAGGGTTTATGTGATGTGAGCTATGAAGATCATCCAAGAGTGGAAAAGACACTACTCCCCAGACCTTATCAGCATGAATTTTCATGGGCCACCTTTTCCACTCTTGTTGTCCTTCCCCACCCACACTCTTTAGATGTATTCTGCTACATGAACTGGGAGGGCCTTGGAGGCTTGGGGAACACTGACCCAACA